AAAGAGTGGCTATTGAATTGTCGTGTCACCGTGTATTATTTTGAAAATTAGATACAAAATCTTGTTAAGAAAATTTCACATCGTCCCAAGTTTTTTATTTATTAATTAGATGCTATGTTGCAAAGGCAATTTAATGCTTGTTACTAACGTTATGGGGTAGAAGTTCTGCACTTTAATAACCTTTTCTTTTCGGAATGCATATATGGGCAAGCTTGTTATAAGTTTGGTTAAACTTGTTATCCAACCTAATCGAAATTATAGTTGGGTTGAGTTTGCGCTATTTTTTAATTTTTGGTCAAATTCAAATCAAAATTATCCGGTCATGAATGAGATTGTTCGAGTTAGGTCAATTAGATTTAAACATTTAAAATGGTTAAAACTAGTATTTTAACTTGTATGAAGCACACGACTAATACTTATTCTAATGAGCAATGATGCAATTTAAAATTTGTATAACTATGGTATCACTTGTGTCTGATGTATTATAAATTAGTACCTTAATTTGTGAATGGTATAGGGTAAATGTTTGTTGTATGTAATATGTAATTAAAATATATAATAAATTATACATGCAAATATATATAATATTTCAATATATAAATAACATTTAAAATTTGTACAGATAAATAATTTTAGACATGTAAATTATGTTTTAGATTAATGATAATTGTGGTACAGATTTTTTTTTAAGATAGTAAGATTTAATTCATAAATAAATATGCTAGATAAAAATTAAATTAGATAAGAGATTAAAATAATCTTTTAAGATTTTCTTGTTAAATAAAAATGTATAAAATTGTTTTTGTTGAAGAAAAATTTCTAAAATCATTCTTGTGTTTGTGTTTTATTTTTGATAATTATATTATTGGGATGAAACATTTATTGGCTTTGTTGATAACTAATTTTTATTAGAGAATTAGGTTGATTATCTTTAACGAGATTTTTTTTCTCTCAAACATGTTTTTTCATACATAAGACTTAAATTTGAGACCTTACTTAAAGGGACCAAGTCTAATATACTAATGACATATTAATCTTTTGCACATGTATTTAATATATAGAGATGAATAAAAAAATTAATGAACAAGTTATATTATTGGTAAATTTAAACTCCAAAATAAATAACAATTTTTGAATATTAAATTATATTTTAATTTTAAGTTTAAATATATTTTTAATTTTGTAAAAAAAAGTTTTGATTTTACCATTTAAAAAAAATCTCTTTATTTTTTTATTTAATTGCTATTTTAGTCTATATTATTATGTGACACTTTCCAATTATGATTGTGTTTATCATACTGTCAAGTGACTATCTTAAATGACACTAACAAATATTTGTGAAATCATGTCATAGTGAATATGTTAGGAAGAAATATTAATGAGTTTAAATTTTAAAGTGAGAAAAATTAAATAAAAATATTTACAGGGACCATAATAAAAATGTGTTCACTTTGTACTAATTAAAAATACTAATTTCAAGTTTTAAAGAATGAAAAAGTAAATAAAAAAGTTATAGTGACAAAAAAAATATTCATTTTACAAGGTTAAAAATGCATTTAGTGTTAAATTTACGATAAATGTTTTTTATTGTGACGAAAAAATTAACTATTGATATTTTTAAAATATTAATTTTTTTAATAAAAGTAAACATGAAAATGATATATTAGCAAAAATTCTTAAAAATACTTTTTTGTCGAATAAAAGTGTCTAAGGACGTTCATGATATATAATAATTCTTGAAAAATTATATATAAAATAACTATGTGAATGTGTGGATTTACGTTACTCATTCACGTTTCGACGAGTTTGACACAAAAATAAGAAATTATAACTTTTTATTTTTACATTTTTTACGTGATTTAAGTCTCATAAACTTGAAACTAAACACAAACTATGTATTTTTCATGTGTAGAAGATTTTTAAAAAATTAGATTTCTCATTTCTTACCAAAAATAACACAATTTAAAAGTAAATAGTTAGAGAAATATAAAAATTAAATAAATTTTATTTCAAATTTCAAATCTAAATAGAGCATAAAAGTGACACAAAATTACGGAGAATCAAATATTGGAAGTAATGAGTTTAAGTAACTTGTTATATCTTCATGAGTTTGAAATTTAATGTTAAATACGAGACATCAAACATATACATAATATCAAGTGTAATCATATTTTAAAAAACAATAATAATTAAGCTCTTTGTACTTTTCACATTCAATAGATCAGTGTTTCCTCTTTGAATATATAAAAAAACCATATTAAAAAACATGATTCAGAAAAAAAATCTATTATAAAAACAAAATAACATTGAACTGAATCTAAAAAAAATATTTATAAACTATGACAGTCACAATATTAATAACAAATTCCACATTTATGTAATAATAGAGATTGACACATCTAATCAAATTGTTCGCACTAATTATGATTTATTAGGTTCAATTCTCATATTTTTTTATTGGTAAAAAATAAAATTTCACTATAAATTTCTATCAATGTTGATAATCTTTTTTGACATCATAAGCATGTTTTTCTCCTATCTAAGCTTTTATGTAAAAAAAAAAAAACTCTTATTATATATATATAAATTAAACCAGTTCCGAAAATTCGAAACGCGCGTTAATGGTGAAAGTAGCGGGAGATTTGAGGGTTTTGTTATTTATTCCTCTTTTTGCCGCTTCTTCAGTGTGACAGTGGCAATGGTCCTGACCGGCAGAGAAAGCCTGATTCGATTAATCGGCAAACGGAGGCGCTTCCTTCCCAATCGCCACTCCATCCTCTCCGATCCTAACCCTAACCCTAACCCTAACCCTATTCAGGCCGCGGAGCCTCAAAACGACGACGTGCAGTGCCCTGTTTGCGGCCACAACCTTCCCGGCGATAACCGCCACATCAACTCTCATCTCGGTATGCACTCTCCTATTCTCTTGTTTCAATGTTTCTCTGCACTCTCTCATCTCAATTTACACTTTCAGATGCGTGTCTCTCCCAACCGACACCAATTACTGCAACTAAGCGAAAGCTCTCCCAACGCACACTACTTCAGCTAAACTTCACTCTATCAAATTCCAAACCTAAATTCGAGAATCTCAGTGATGACGGTAACACTGCCCCGGTGCCGCCTTCTCCCGATTCCGAAGAAGAAGAATTGAAACATGAAGTCACTGAAAATCACGAGGCTCAACTTGATTCTACTGTTAGTGCCACCTCATCTTCCTCGCCCTTGAACAGTGGGGTGCAGGATGATTACGAGCCACGCGAACTTGGCACGACGCTTGAAACTTTCATCGTTGGCCGGAGATATGCTGATCACCGAGAAGAAATACGTGTTGGCACCTCGATCGCTCTTTTGAGGGACCCTCGAAATGTTAAGGACCCCAATGCCATCAAGGTTGGTTCCTTTTGCCTCTATGACTATAAGCTCATGATTTATGTCTTCTGTATGCGGTTTAGTGGACCTTATTGTTACTCTTCGTTCAGGTTGTTTCTGCGGATTCTGCTTGCTGTAAGTCATTGGGTTTTCTCCCCCGCGAGCTCGCCCAGCATCTATCTCCTCTTATCGACAACTATGGCCTTGAATTTCAGGTATTCAAAAAGTTTAGCTTAATAATCAGTAGTTTATGTATTTAGAGCCATTATCACAATGTATTATTGTTGAAATAGAAGATGATTGAGAGGTGAATTGTGCATTATGTGATTGTTTTAGTTCAGAAACTACTTTTTATTGATTAGATGAGTCTACTGTTACACGTTATTACTGCTTGGCCAGAGGAATTTTTGTTGATTGTTTTTTAGTCGAATCTTTGTTGTACAACACTGTAGTTTTATGTTGTCAGGTGCATTTCTTTTTGAAGTTGAATTGATGATATACAGTAAAAAAGGATTGTGATTTTCTAGGATAATTCAATCATTGAAAATAGGTGGACTGAAGTTTCATTGGATGCGTACGAGAGTAAGGGTGTTATAAGGTTAGATTTGTGGCTATTTTGGTTCTGTGAACAAGGTACTTCAGGATTGGTTTTTCGGTTTGACAGGTTTTGAACCAAATAAAGGAGATTCAACTAAGGTTTTACACTGAAATTTGTTCTACTCCATGTTAGTTGATAAAGTTGAAGAAAATAGGTTAGAATTGAGAGGACGAGAAATAAACATAGGCATGCTACTTAGGTTGTGTTGCATTGTGCAATCAAGACTGGAGTAGTATGTTGCTACGATTCCTTAATGTTATCTTTTTATGAAAAATATGACTTTACTTCTTTATTGAATCCTAATTTTTTAGAAATTAGACTCTCTACTACAATTGAGCTTATAAGGAAAACTAAGGGTCCGTTTGGTTCAAAAGAGGGGAGGGGAGGGGAGTGAAGGAGTTATAAATTGTTTGGTTGAGTAGGTAAGGGAAGGGGAGGGATTTTAAAAATCAATTTACATTGTGTACTTATAATTTTAAATTTAATAATATAAATAAGGATATTTTTGACATTATACTTAAAATGATATAAAATTCCTACCCTCCCCTTCAAATCCCCCCAATATTGAATGGGAGCTAAAGTTGGGTTAGGAGAGATTTTGCTCCCTTCCCCTTCCTTCCATTTCCCTCCAACCAAACACTATGGAAGGACATTAATTAATGGTATTTTTCTCAAATTTTTAACCTACTTATTTAAACTATTTATACCAAATGTTTGCCTGATAATCATAATTCTTATAATCACTCCAAAAATATTGAATTAAGCAACTTAATTCAAATCCTCATCATTTTTCTCTTTGGAATTTGTTCCAGGGGCATGTCACTTCTGTTCCAAAACATTCCCTTGATATTGTTTCAGTACAGATTATGTACCACAGAACATCAGATGGTGAAACCAAGTCTGCTGATGAGATCTTTAAAAGCTTATGGAAAAATGCGCAACGTGTTGTTGAATTTGCAAGCAGGAATCCTCCTTCATCTGTAAAGTATCAGCTGAACTTTTGTGTTATGCTACAGGAAGTGTTAAGAAATAATATCCACCTTCTTACTGAAGAAGAAAAATCCTATATGGGTACAAAAACTTGTGACTTTTATTTTTATTTTTTAAATTTTTTATCAAATATTTTAAACTAACAATGTCTCATCTATGGATGATTGGACAGAATCATTCACTTTACTCTCAAATGACAGTCAGAGGCTTTTTATCCGTCTATACCCTAGAAAAGGTTATTTGAATTTTTGAAAACTTGTTTGCCAAATTCATTGTTCATTCCTGTTGTCTGCCATGATGCACTAAAATTGTAGTGCCAGATTACCTACATCCTAAGTGTAGATACCATGATTCTTCTAGTCATGGCAGTACCACTCGTCTCTGAAGATTTTTAGCTATAGTGCATCTGGGCATCTAAAAAAAGTGCTTCTGTTCATATCAAAGTTCCATAGTTTGCTAAGAGTTGGGATTTTACTGAAGTAGCTAGTTATCTTTTTAAATTGTTTTTTGTCTTGGAATTGATATATTTTACATATTGAGCTTTCATGTAGGACCTTGGTTTCGCATGTCTAGTATATCATATCCTGAAATATTGGATACTCAAAAGGCAGTCAAGGGACTTGCTGGTAATTCAATGAAATGAGTAAGGTTTATTTTTTCTTTCCCTGCAAATATAACTTGATTTCTTGCTGTTAAACTTTATTTCCACTTTTTTAACATGTATCTTTGCTATGATCATATTGCAGAGAAAGGATACATAGATTTTATTGAAGATGCAAATCAACTATGTGATAGCAATGTGAACGATATCTTGAATATCCTCAGTGTCTCTGAGTTGCGTGAAATTTGGTGCATTTTACTTAAAAAGGTTAGACGCAATTGGTAGCTTTAGAATAATATATATTTGAAAAATGCTAGCAACTCTCTAACACACTCTTTTACAGACACACACACATTCTAATTGGTTGAAATTTATTGAAAAGCACTAATTGGTGAGTCCCACAAGGCCACAACCTATTTAATGACTCTCTCTCTCTCTCTCTCTCTCTCTCCAGATTTTGTAGTTTTTCATAAATTCTAATCAATGAGAATGAGTGTGTTTTACAGTGGGTTGCTAGTACTCCTCATATATTTTTCATATGAAATTTCATTATGAAATATGAATGGATTTCACTGGTTGTGTGAATAATATTCTTCTTGTTTACACACACACATGTAAATATATATATTTAATAGTATGCTGTTGGTCTTCAATTGTGTACAAGTTGCATGCTCCATGAATTCATAACATGGGTATCTATTTCCTTGTTATTAGATAATAGTTGTTTCTTTTGATACGCATGAAGTGATATGAATTTTCCTGTTGTGAAATCTGTAATAGACAAATTTGTTGTCCATTTAAGGTTCTATGAGTTCAGTGCTTGTTACTTTGCTTCTAGATAAGTTAGTAAAGTTGGGCTATGAATTCAGTTGATGTTCAGTGCCTACCCATTTGGTTATTACTCTTTGTTTTTTCTTCATTTTTAAATAAAATGCACAACATTAGATCATTGTCTTTTCATTTTAGAAAAAAAATGAATTCTTAAGGATTTGCTTTTTTTTTGGATGAATAATTAATTTTGGGTGTGTATGGTGAGTGATCTGATTTGTGTTGATTTGATCAGCAGCACACCTTATCTTGTATTGAATATTTTTGTGGAATAGATGGTTTTTACTTATTTGGTCAATTTTGCAAGTGTGTCAACATTTCAGATCTTACATATGCTTAACACACCACCTCCCTTTTTTTTTTGGTTTACTATTTCCTTAATTTGTTATCCTTATATAGGTGCGCATCCTGATCATATAAGTGTCTCCTGCCATTATTGAGTGGAGCACTTTGGATGGATCCTTCTAAATTTGGTTGTATCCATAGTAGATGCTCCTAAATTGATCATTGGCTTTCGATGACTACATTGTAAGAGACATACCATGTGGACAGATACGGGCCAAACAATTGAACATTCTTTTTTGTTTCTGTTTATAAACATAGATGTTAATAAAATAATCGTTATTCAATGATTATGCATTTCATGTGTTATTTTCTCTCTCTCCTTTTCAGTTCTCTTATGAGCTAGCTACTAAATTTAGTATATTCTATTAATATCTAGAGTGGCGGTCATGTGATGAAGAAGCAGCATCTGATTTCATCTCTTTCTACAGATGCTGACATACTATGGTATTAAACTTTTAGTTGTGCTTTTATAATTAGTTGAGTTGGATATTGTTCTATTTCATACTTTGTTCATGTTGTATGCAGGCCACAACTATCAACTATGATTTTGGATAGAATTGGTTCCTGTATTATGATTTCTTCAAAAGCTGAATCTCTTATGTGGCGTATTGAGGTGCCTATTTGACTTCTACCGTTTATGTTGATTAAATGAATTGGTCAAATTGGGTAATATTTAGATCTAATGTAAATGATATTCCTTTTGCAGAGACTTTTCTTCTTAAATGGAGAACAGGATCTTTCGTCCTTTCTACTTGTTGATATGGGAAAAATCAAGTATCCAGCTTATAACTGCTTAATATCAGAACCAATTTTCTCAAATTGCAGGAATCTGCTCTCTTATGAAGAGGTACATGTCTAACTTCAGAGATGTTAATTGTGTTCTGTTCCTTCTTCCATGTGTGACATTATGTTTTCAGGCCATCGAAGTGGCGCAAATTATGGATGAAGCTCTTGATGCAAACAAAATTGATGTGGTGTTAAGGTGCATAAAGATAGCTGAATCCTGTATATCTACTGATTTGCCCATCCAGTACTCAACTTCTGAATCAGTTTCTTCAATTCGTCACTTATTTACAGCATCATGGGTATACTCCAAAGTGGTCACAGTAGGGATTTCCTTCCTTGAGCAAGAGCGTAGGTATGGAGTTTTGTGGTTTAATTGACAAACCCTCACTTCTTACTTTAAATCTTGATTGAATGAATACATAATGATGTGAAAACCTATAGGGCATATCCTAATCATGTTAAAGAGTAAAGTCTTGAAAAATTATAGCAGAACCATTTGGAGCTTGTGTAGTGTGGTATTATTAGACTCCAGTTTAGGAAAAAAAACTACAAATCAGTGGGGAAACTGAATTAAAAGAAATTAAAGCAAATTATCCTCAGTAATGTCTCCACTGTTCCAATCACTTGACAAGGACTCACCTCCTAACTCCACCACCCCTGACTGAAAAAGTGGTTGATAGTATTTTAACTTTAATCTGGTTTGGAATACCTTAGATTCGTCATGGATGATTATATCCTGCACTATAATGCTTTCTTAATAGTGAACTATGAAGCCCAGATAGTTAATATGACATAGATACGGGGATATACAGGAATTACTTAAAAGATAAAGATGTAATATAGCTTAGATACATTATAATAAATTATATATATATATATATATATATATATGTGTGTGATTTTGGATTATATTTGAAGTTTAAGATGATTTTGAATTATATTTATCTATTTGAGATTATTTAGATTTGATTTGATTGTATTTAAAATTATCATTTAATGTTTGGGATGAATGATTCATTTATGGATGTCTTAATTAAGAATCTCA